TCTGAAAGATGAGCTCTTCCCCTTTTGGCAACTGCACAAAACAGTTGTCACACTCTCCTTGAGGAAACAAAAATAGGAAGGAGCGGGGCTGAACATTTTGGCCAATACTGCTGCACACACCTATGTGTGTGCAGGGCTCCAAGTTCCCTCCTTTGCTGTGCTGCAGAGGACAGAGTTTGCACTGGCACCATTTTGCATCTCCTGTGAGCTTGCAGGCAATGATGAAATCAGAGTAAGGAGAGCTGGGCTGTGCATGCGGAGGGGCAGAGCCACCAAGAAAGATCTGTAAATAGGCTGCGTAGGCTGCTGTCAGAGTCCAGTACTCTGACTAGGTTCTTTTAGATATTCCACATGTGGAGGGTATAATGTTTAATATCAAATTTATGTATTTGAAGATATTTGATGTTACATGAAGTTTCTGATTTAGCAGTGATACAAATATACTAGTAACACAATACAGATGTAAGTTACTCTTAGCAAAATACAGCAATTGCAATATACAGTTCAATCACAATACCAATGGGATCTCCATTATTGGTCTCTATAATATGCTCACTGTCATGACACCAGGCATCCTCAGTTGCCTAGGGAAGTAGTACATGGGTTGAAGCCCGCTCAAGCCCATTGTTGTTCTCTTTGAAATTCTTTTGTTCATTGTTTAGCTTTTATACTCTGTGTTGGGCAGAGCCACCTATTCTCACACCCCCACGCGCTGGTTTGGCTAACTCAGGGAGGTGTTCACATTCTTTTAATGAACTCAGGGGGTTACGCCACCAGTTGGTCCACTCAACTGACATAGCTGTTTGTCTAAAACAAACACCCTCTCATCCCCTTTGTGTTGAGATAAAGTTAACTTATTTGCAAAAGCTGTGGTAAGTCACACCCTGCGTTATTTTCTGAGTTTTGTAGGCACATGGCCCTTGCCCAGCTCCTCTGAGCCTTCTTCCATTGTAGGGCTTTGTTGGTCAGTCACAACTGGGGTTCCCAGAGTTGGGCATGCATACATGGGGGGGCTGGAGTATGTGATAACAGCAGAGATAAACCTTTTCTCTTTCTGTTCTGCAGTAAATTATCTAAAACTGTTCTGGGGACAGATTGAATTACTCGGGAGAGCAGTATCACTTCCTCCTGTGCTGGCACAAGTGGTTGAAGGAGCAGCATTTGCAGAGATCAGAAATTCCCCTTTACCTGTGGAGGGGAGACCCTAAGCAAGGACTTGGGGCACCTTTGTGTATTTGCAATTCTTGTTTCCTTATGTGTCAGACAGGAAGGGCAATGTCTCCTGCCAGCTGGGGGCTGTGAAATTTGACTAACAAGTCTGAAATACCTTTCAAAGGGCCTCCTTTGAATGTTGCTAGGACAGCGTAGCATGCCAGGTACCAAGCTAGGTTTTTAGTGCTAGGCTGTGTGATCAAAAGATCCTACCCTATTGTAATGTGTATCAGAGATGAAACCACAGTGCTTAACTGTCAGTGAGCAAACACGCACTTAAAAACGTGAACGCTCTTTTCAGGCTGTGCTAATGCTCACGAAGTACAGGACAAATACAGAATCTGAAATGCGGATGTACAGATTTTCTGTTTGATTCCTGGAGAAGACTGATCTTGATTTTGGTGTTCTTCTGTACTCAGTAACTTCAGGAAAATCAAAACAGATTATTTTTTGCTTTTTATTTTCTGCAAGGTGAAATTTCTGCCTTACGTTGAAAGCAGGAGAGAGAACTCTTCCTGGTCCTTCCCCCCCTCGCAGAGGTTTTGGTGTAGGTCTCAAAGGAAGTATTCTTACAGAGACGAATCTTATGTTGGGGCTATCCTGCTGTGCTTCCAGCCAGATAGCAATGTCACCCTTTCATGATGCAAACTGTGGTCTGCTAAACAGAGAAGCAATTCATATGATTTGAGCGAAGTTGTGAAGAGCATCTGCAGACCTTAGGATGCTAAAGGTCTGTCTGCTCTTGGGACATACGTACTTACACCTATGCCTTTGTAGTCTAATCCTTAGTGAGCTGGGGAATGTTATTTATTCAGTCTCATTTCAAAGCTGTTGCCTAAACCTGACGAAAGGTTTGGGTTTAAGGAGCTGTTAGATAAGAGCTTAGGAATGTTATATTTTTCCATCTGAGGATTAAGGAGCAGTTTGCCTGCCGGATTTTACTGAAAGCTCTGTCTGTAAATAACAAATGGGGGACATAGTGGTCAGAGGTTGGGAGAGATGGTAAAACTGGAGAGAACTGGATTTGTTTTGTTCTGAGAGGGGAGTAATATGTACCAAAAGATGCCACTTCGGAGCATCCTAGGAGCCTCAGATCCAGCCAGCTGGGAGGAGTTGGAAATTGAAGTTTCCCTGGTTTGCTAGAGTTAGCAGCTCCCAAGCTGAAAGTATAGCTGTCGGTTCCCGGGAATAGAAACCTCATGGAAGCTACTGAGAAGAAGAGCAGAGTAAGAGATTATGAGGAGCCTGAATGTGATGAATTGGATAATTTCTGACTGTCTGAAATCCAGATCATCTGGATGTTACTAGGGTGCTTTTTGGGACCTGCCTGCAAGGAAGGAATGCCATGGGAGTGGTGGCTGTAGATGAATGTGCTGGGAAAGCCAATTAATTCTGTGCATTTCCGTGAAACAGGCAGGTGGTGAGAAGTGCTGACGTGCTGCCGGCCCCTCCCGGGGGCTGCCTGAACAGGCTGCCAAGTGACACTGCGCTCCTCTGCCCGACCTTGGGAATGCCTCTGCCCTCCGTCAAGCCTCCGGCATGGGCGTCATGTGCAGAGGAGAGGCTGTTACCCAGCCTGCAAAAGATTGTTTATGCTTTCTAGATGACAGAAAAAAGTTTTCGGGTTATATTTGCTGCAGTTGCCTTTCTGCAGGGAATTTGTGTCATTGGATGCAAACAACCATAGTAAAACACTATTACACTGGTACATAAATCATGATGCCTCAAACACCTGGTCAGACTTCCACTGCTGTTCACAGCTATCTCCCCCACGACTCCCCTGCCCTTTCAGCCTAGTAGTTATACAAATATTTCATCTCTGAGAGAACATTACTGCTGTGATTGCTGGTGAACTTAAAACTTGCCCTACACTTTGTGTGTTTCAGGAAAAACTGCTACACCTTTCTTTTTCTTTTTTTAAAATATGTATGTGAAGAGGCTGTAGATGTCTGAAATGCGCATATTTTAAGATCTACAGGGCTTAAACTGGGTACTGTGCATAAACACATCTACCTGAGCTGTGAGCATAAATGCTATCAGCACAGAGCACTATTTCTTCTGGAACTATGCTATCTGCAGCTGCTATATAGTAAAGGACTAAAACTAGATGTTTATGCAGGTCTGGGATTGATTTCTGGCTCACAATCTAAAGGTAATAGTTCCAGTTTGGGAGATGGAAGTACATAGTTTAGTCCTGGACCATTGTAACTATTATGTTTGTTTGTATTTTACATGGTTCTAGATGTTCAGGGACGCATTTAGTTTAAATTACAGGTTTAGCTGCAGGGCTTTCACCAGCACAAGAGTAACTTTCAGGAACTACTTCATCAGGTGGTTGTCTTGATACTCTCAAATCGCCCTGTTTATTGCAGGTCCTTAAAGAAAAACATGAAAGAGATGGAGTGCAGCTCTGAGGCTGTGAAACACAACAGGGGTCCGCAGCCTCCCAGGCTGACTGGCATGGGCGCAGCATTTCCAGGCGAGGGGGGCTGTCTTGCACCGCTGCATAACAGTGTGGTTGACATGGGGTGTACCCTGCTAGGGGGCATGGCTTGGTACCTAGCTCCTTTGGTAAAGAAAAAGGCAGCAGATAGCAGTTTCTCTATACTGAGCTGGAGACAGTTTAGCTTGACAGCTTTTGAGGCAGGGGGAAATCAACTAGGAAGTCTAATTCTAACAGGATTTTAAAGAATGCTGGAGGGAATGCTAGGAAAGAGGACTGGAGGTCTTGGTGTAAACTGAATTATTTTGGGAGTTCTGGGTTTATTTCATTAAGAGTGTGTGTTTGAAAGGATGAAAATTAGAGTGGTAGATGAGAAAGAAAAGCCTAAATATGAACCTGCCAACCATTTTTCCCTTTCTTTTTACAGGTGAAGCCACAATTTGAAAGCAAGGAAAACAGGACATATGGCATCTTTGAAGCCATAGAATATAGGACTCAGGTGGTTGCTGGGATAAACTACTTTATTAAGGTTTGTATATATTATAGGGAGTGCTTAGTAGTTAAACAATATAGGTGACTTGCATAGTGACATAGCAAGAAAAAGAAGCAAATGTGGTAGAAAAGATCTGATGTGACAATAAAGTTGACTATCTCCAGATGCTTATAAAATTCCCCTGTTTAGCACTACTGTAGAACAGGAATCTAAAAACTTCTAAAACATGCATCTTTTTATTAAAGAAATTGGCAAGTAGGGTTTGGGGGATAGTAATTCTTCAGAGAGACATTATAAGCATTTGCTCCAAGCTTCTTATATTTAGTTGATCCCAGGAAGGACAGACACTGCCAAACCTTCTTTCCCAGGTCCTTCCTTAAAACAACTCTTAACAGTTACTTCTGCTCTGTGGGCACCAGGGGATTGTACTGTCAGACTACCTATTATATGGCTAGTCTGAGTCTCACTTACATGAATGATGTTTATCCTTCCCTTGCTCCTGTGAGATGGGCCTTCACTTTGTGGACAAAGTGCTGAGTAATGAACAATAACAATTTAGAGGAAGGCTGCAGTAAAGCCAGAAGTCCTGCCAAGTTGCATTTCTTCCCTTAGTGCCCTCTTATTGCTGACCTAGGCAATGTAAAATACTTGACTGCTGTCCATGCCAAGCCTCATGACCAAACTACTCAGAAATGAAGACTGACATGTTAGCAAACTTGGAAGAAATCCATTTATAACACTGAAAAGAGATGATCTGCCTCTTTTTTCCCAGTCTTGCAAGTGACAGAAAACACACACTAATTTTAGCATTAACTGGAATGAGCTCTGTCACAGGATTCATTCTTTTATACTTCTGAATTTCCACATCATTAATAGTTTACCAGCAGACTTACAGTGGAGACGTAATCCAGACCAAGACTAACATAGAGCCACGTTGCAGCCACCAGAAAGCATGTACAGGCCTCTTAGGGCCTCAGGCATTACACTCTTCCTTAATACTATAACTCACACAGCGAGAGTTTAGCACCTGTTGTGCTTGGCTCTGTGTGAATGAAATTATGCACAACTTCATAGCAAGTCTTTATGTGAGGATTTTTCTCGTGGGGAAGGGGAATTTATTTTAAAATAGTTCAGCCACTCACCCCCACAAGCACCAAAACATGTCAAGGTGTCTGTTCAGGCACTGATGTGTTTGCAGTAATTCTGCAGACAAGGGATCCCAACTTTTGGGTTGTCATTGCTTCTTAGGGCCATGTGCTGGTTTTGGAAATATCTTTCTGTACCTGACACTACTCTGCATCTTGCCCCACCCGTGAATCATTAAGATTTACTCATTGTCTCTTGTCTCCTACCCTGAGTGTCCCAAGAAGCTATGAGCTGATGTGCTGGGATCTTGACTGAAATAGGATGCCATCAAAACCTTTCTCCTCTTGTGCCTTCTGGTGCTTCCACACCCAAGCACTCCTACGTATTTTCTGAAGGCTTTTATTACAGTTTTCTATGGGTGTAGACAGTTTCTGCTGTTACTGTCCACTTTGGGTTAAGAGCTGTTGAAATAAAAACGGAGCTACACATAAAATTAAGCTCTTGAGCAAAGCTAGTCTTCCAAGTAAGTAAAAGCATCCTTTTGTTTGAACCTGCTTCACCCGTGATCCTCACTTTCCTGCTGTTTTGGTTTCTAGGTCCGAGTTTCTGATGACAACTATGTCCACATAAAGGTGTTTCAGAGCCTTCCTCATGAAAACCAAGGTCCCAGCCTTGTCGGTTTTCAGACTGGCAAAACCAGAGATGATCCCCTGACCTACTTCTGAGAGCTGATGGGGGTGTTTGTGGTTGGGGTGGGGGTGATGCCTCACTTCTGCAAATTGCATGTGGATGCTGCCTGTGTCAGTAAATGCAGGAAAATAAAAAGTTTTGAAAACTGTTTCTTCATCTACTGCATGTCATGTCTAGGTCTGCTGCCTGGCTAAAGCTCAAGTAGGCTCTAAGATACTATTCAAGGCTGGTTCTGCCACCTGAGGGTCTATAGCTGTGAGACAGAGCACACCTATTTCAGCTCCTCTTTCCAAAACAGTCAGGCATGCTCTGACGACAAAACTAGGGTCTCTTGTCAGTTCTTCAGTCTGTGGCCAAGAACATGCAGCAACATCATCTAGAAGTGGACTGTTTCCCCTCAGCTCAGACGGCAGCAAACCTTGTCCAAGTCTCAAATTAATTACACAAGGCAAATATCAAAATTTACAAGCTTGGCTACAGATTTTTCTGAGCAGATATGTCAGTTCTTCAGTCTGTGGCCAAGAACATGCAGCAACATCATCTAGAAGTGGACTGTTTCCCCTCAGCTCAGACGGCAGCAAACCTTGTCCAAGTCTCAAATTAATTACACAAGGCAAATATCAAAATTTACAAGCTTGGCTACAGATTTTTCTGAGCAGATA